GTCTCAAACCCCTGGGCTCAGGCAATCCTCTTGCCTCGGCCTCCCAAAGTGCTGGGATTACAGGATTGAGCCACCCCACCGAGCCTGATTCTTTTCCCCACTGATTTGTCTTGGCACTCCCGTGAATTCTTTCAGAAATGTATTTTAAGTTGGATATATGGCTTCCTACTTTTTACTTATTATATGATAGGCATGTTCTAATGCCACTTCTAAATGTGTGAAAAGCCTACTATGAGGGGGAAAGGAAAGTCTTGGAAAACTATTCTGCCAGTTACAGACGTCCTGGTTTCTATATGGTTCCTAGATGCTTTGTAAAAGTCTCGTTTCCTGAAAACACCAACAGGTAAGTCTGGCAGCTTACAGAAGCCAGATGATGGCAGGCCTCTCCATCTGGTAACAGCCTGCATTGTTGCTAACCTTCCTCATAAGTTTCCCTGAGCAGGACTGGTGGAAGCGCCTCATGTGACCTGACACTGGAGCCTCAAGCCCAGAGGTGGGGCACAGCACTGCCACACCCATGGTCCCTTCCCAGGTAGCCAGGGGCATACAGACCTGGCAGCCTCCTGAGGCTCAGCCCTGGGCAAATCTGCAGCCAGCCCATGGGGTCTCCCTTCCTGGGGTAACCACACTAGAGGTGGTACTAGCTCACCTGTAGAAATGTTTAAAAAGAGAGTTTCCTTGTTTGATGAATTACTATTTATATCTCCTCCCCAAACTAGGCACTAAACATTTGGAAAACCAGACCCTTCCCCCCAAGAGTGATATTTTATTTGAGCTTAATGGCTCCAAAGTTATTTCAATATGCCAAATCCCCTGAACATTTAAAAAAAATTATCATGGGTAAGAATAATTGCCAGGTGTGGTGGCTCACGCCTGTAATCCCAGCACTTTTGGAGGCTAAGGCGGGAGGATCACTTGAACCAAGGAACTCAAGACCAGCCTGGCCAACATAGCAAGACCTCATCTCTACAAAACATCAAAAAATTAGCCGGGTGTGGTGGCGCGTGCCTGTAGTCCCAGCTACTCAGGAGGCTGAGGCAAGAGGATCACCTGAGCTCAGGAGGTCAAGGCTATGATCGTGCCACTGTACTCCAGTCTGGGCAAAAAAGTGAGACCCCGACTGAAAAAAAAAAAGAAAGGAAGAGAAAGAAAAACTGCCAATCCTGTCTTAGCATTGTGGAACACAAATCTTGTCTGTGCTTGCTAATTATATGACGGGGTATCTTTAACACTGGCTTGGATCCTGAGCATGAGTGGCCTAGCAATGCCCCATCTGCCTCCTCCCAGTGGTCCAACTCATTAGCGTTAGACCCGTATGCAGATGTGGCAGTTATACCCTGGGCCCTCAGGGTGAGAGACATGGGCCCTGGCCCAGAAGAGGCAGTAGCAGGGGTGGAGAGAGGTGGGGAAGAACTAGGGCAAAGGCTGGCACTCCCCTTCTCACCCAGCAGCCCAAGGATGCTTTGCTGAAGACACACTGGCCACATGACCCCTGCAGCATCATGTGCCCTTGCCCGACGGCCACATGACCCCTGCAGCATCATGTGCCCTTGCCCGACTCCCTATGGGAGAGAGGTAGAAGCAGCTCCGCATGGCACAGAGAGGTTCAGCTGAGCAGAAGGAACAGGGTTGTGAACTGAGGCAGCTTCCAGAAGGTCCTGGAAAGTGGGAACAGCCGCATACAAAGAACACACAATGGAGGCTCCCTTCTGAGTAAAAGGGAAAGGGACATGTGAAACACAGACAGAAAGCCAGAGGATGCAGGGACTGGTGATGGCACGCGGGACAGGAAGAGAGGGCAGGGGATACGTGTCTTTGCTGAAGCACCTGTGCATGGCGCTGGTGTTTGGAGCCAGGTTAACATTTCACATGCACAGAAAAGAAAATCAAACCAGTAAGAATGTGAGGAGAAGGCTCTCATTTGCTCACATCATAAAATTACCAAGACACTGGCCAGGAACCACCTGCTGCCAATCCCCAGGGAGGCACAGGAGGGGATCCGGTAGCCAGAGGCCCCGAGGCAGGGCTGACTTCCCAAGTGGCCCACGGTCCTTCCTGCCACTCGCTGCTCTGGAATTCGCTGCTGTATCTGCCACATGGGAGGGCTCCGCGATGCCTCGAGCAGCACAGTGCCATGGAAGTTGCACCCTGCTTCTGAGAGCTTTGGTTCAGCTCCTTCTGGGGGTGCCCACCCTTGGAGTCTGGCCTCCGTGCAGAAGGCAGCCCAGCCAGGTGGAGAGGACTTGAGCCACAAAGACCCTCAGCATCCACCTGCCACGGATATGAGCATACCACCTCCGAGGTAGACCCCCACCCCAGCACAGCCTCCCCAGGCAACCCTGCCTGGAGCAGACAGAAACTGCTCCTGCTAAGTCTTGTCAGCTCTTATTGTTTGCACAGCCATTGCCTTTGGGGCTGCTTGTTCCACAGCAACAGATAACTAGAACTCACAACTCTACCTCACTCAAGACCGTCTCCACCACCAGACCACCTGAGAGCCAGGGCACGGCCCACGCCTGCTCCAGGCAGGCAAAGGGGACGCGGAAGGCTGGCACCCACATCACATTCTTTCTCCAAAGCCCCCTTTCAAAGACAGCACTCCCTGTCCACATCGCCCTGTTTGGTTTCCTAGAGCATGGAAGGAACAAGGGTGGGGTGGGAGGTGGGAACAGGGCTGGAGAAAAGCCAAGGAGGACACATGGCAACACTAGCCAACTGACGACTGAGAAACACTGCCAGAGTGTGCAGTCGCAACGACTCCATCTTGGGCCATGGGCTCCCGACTGCGCTGCCGAGGCCTGGGCTTCTGTTGGTGGGACTGAGCCCTAACGTGACCAGGAAAAGATGAAACTAGCCCTTCCTGCTCCACCTCAGGGGCCAGGAAGCACAGTGTGGTTTAAAAGATTTTCACTAGGCAGTGTGTCCCCAGGAGGGGAGTGAGGGAGGGAAAAGATGTCCTGGTGCCAAAGCAGGGGGTGCAGGTAGCTGCAAGGGTCTGGCCTAGCACCCGACAGCAACACTGGGCTGTCAGTGGGATCCCAGTGGCTACAGGACACGACCTACAAGTGACACAAACTGAGGAAGCAGAGTCTAAAACAGGGTCTGTTTTGTTTTTTAACTTGGAGAAATCATTCAAAAAGCGAGAATGTTAGAACTACTTTTATTTGCATACATTTTATGGTGCACCAAGTTCTGTTACATTCATAGATTGCACTGTGGCCAAGTCAGGGCTTTTAGGGTATTCATGACCCAGATATGATTTTAGATAATGTTCTTCTGTCAGTGTACGATTCTGAATCTGAAGGGAGTCCGGACAGCCCGGAACGTGGGGGAGGGGGTTCACTGGAAGTGAACAGGATGTTCCTAGAACAGTTTTATATCACCCCATCCTCGTCTGGAGGGAGGTCTTAGGACAGAGGACAAAGGCGTATGGTCTTTTTGTGCCCTGACAAGGCTCAAACAAGTCAGGTGAGTGGCCTCATTCACACTGAAAAGGACCCACCAGATGAACACAGATGCATGGCCAGTCTGCACTGTGGAAGTCACCAATGCCTCTTGCTGGGGACAGCCACGTCACTATGAGAGGTCAAACTGGTACTGGATGTGAAAAAGAGGCTGCATGACCCAGTGGGGGAGGGTTGTGTGTGTGTGGGGGGGGCTTCCTGTCCCGGGAGTGGGAACTGTGCCTGAACGGTGGGTAGTGGGGGTGCCCCGAGAGGCCTGGGGTCTTGGATCAGGTCTGCAAGCTCTACCCCAACATCTGTGTTACTGAGCCACCTACCTTGGCTAGCCTCGTTTTTCCACCTGCAAAGTAGAGAGAACCCCAGCTAGTCTGCAGGCCTCTTAGGGAGCAGAGTCCCTCTACTGAGGCACCTCCTGGGCCTGGTGTCTGGCAGCTCATGATTCACCTCATCACGGATGACCCTGAGTCCACGGCCAGCTACACTGTGGAAATCACTCCCAGCAGAGCCTCCAATCACTGGCCACGGCCAAGGAGGAGAGTAGAGAATGCAACGGCTCCAAGGGGTGAGACCATCGGCTGTCTGGAACCCTTTCTGAAAACGCCAGGTGGCAGCCGGACCTCCTTGGTCCTCTGGGCCAGCAGTCCAGCCAGCTCCTCTCCAGCACCCCCGCGGCCATCACCCTCCCCTGCGGCAGCTACTTCTACCCATTCCTCCCCGTCCGCAGCCAGCCCTCACTGACAACCACATGACTTTCTACACGTGAGTCAGGCGACATCACGCCTGCTCAGTTCCACGGAGACCCTGCCAGCATCCTGGCCTCCCTGCCTCTCTTTCTGTTGTTCACGGTCCAGCCGCACCGCCCTTGCTGCTGTTCCTCGGATACTCCAGCCGTGAGCTGTGTGGGCCTTTGGGCTGCCAGGCATCCTCCAGGATGACTCCCTCACTCACGTCCAGCAGGTCAGAGGAGCCCTCCCTGACCGCCCATCTAAAACCACAGTTCTGGCCAGGCACAATGGCTCATGCTTATAATCCCAGCACTTTGGGAGGCTGAGGTGAGACAACTGCCTGAGCCCAACTTGAGACCAGCCTGGCAACTTGGTGAGACCTCATGTCTATAATAAATAAAAAATTAGCTGGGCATGGTGGCATGTGCCTGTAGTTCCAGCTACTTGGAAGGCTGAAGTGGAAGGATCGCCTGAGCCCTGCAGGTCGAGGCTGCAGTGGCCGTGAGTATGCCACTGCACTCCAGCCTGGGCGACAGAGTGAGACTCCAACTCAAATAATAATAAATAAAATAAAACCACAGTTCTGGCCGTTTCCGTCCTCCCTTCCCAGCTCTAATTCTTCCCACCACCCAGCGCGTGTTTCTTGCCATCTCCCGAAGTGGACCACAAGCTCCCCAGGGCAGGCAGATCCTGTCTTGGGCCTCACTGTGTCCCCAGTGCCCAGACAGGGCCTGACCAAGCAGGTCCTTGGAGCACTCATGCACAAAACGAGCTCCCGTGGAGGCAGTAAGGCCCGTCGGTCACTGCTTACCTTCTTCCCCGCCGTGGGGCTACTCTCTGCACTCTGTGCAGGGCTCTGCTGGGGACTCCGGCCTTCTGGGGGGACACAGCGGCTCATGTACACACTGTAGTCCAGAAGCATCTTCTGCCGCACGCTGCCCATCAGCTCCTTCTGCTTGGGTGGCGCCGTGACCTCCTCCACGCTGCCCCTGCTGCTGCTGCGGCTGTGCGTGGGCAGGAGTCCTGAGAGAGACGGGAGCGTCAGTACCATGGAGAGGGCACTGCAGCATCCCTGGCTTGGGGACAGCAGCTCATGGCTGTCATGGCTTAAGCCACACTCACACTGAAGCCCCACCCTGAAAAGCTCCTTCTGCTCTAGTAACAGGGAATTTTCTAGAACAGTTTTTATTCCTCTCCAAGATCACACAGCATCCTGAGTGAGGAGACACATCTGGCAAACACCTTCTTTCTTCCTGGCTCTTTAGGAAGGGACCAAATGTGGGGCCGACACACCCCAAGAGGGGTGGACTCACGGATGCTATGGAGAAGGGGAGTGGGCAGAGAGCAGATGAACCATCCAAAGACGCCACCTCTCACACAGTGAGTTACTCCTTGAGCCCCTTCTCGGGCCAACGCCATACTTTTAGGTCCACACATGACCCCCAACTTGAACTTGCCTGGGCAGGTAAGTCCCAATCTTCTAAATAAGCGCTACCCCCGCCACTCAAGGACCCTCAGGGCAGAAAGAAGGGGCTGACTGCCTCTGGCCAAGAGGGCGCAGAGGCCCACCCGAGCACTTCTACAGCAGTGACATCTGAGCTGTCTCCTGAGGGAAGAGCTGCCATTTTCCTGGCCCAGGCAGGGGAAGAGCATTCCAGGTAGAGGGAACAGCATATGCAAAAAGCAAGGGCTGGGCACAGCAGTCTGGAGCCCGGGCAAAGAGTCCAGGACATTCGGAGGAGAACACATGGGCAGAGGCTGGAAAGAAGGAGAGCGCTGGCTGGAACAGACTGCAGAGCACCTGAGCAGCAGGTCTGGATTTCGTGCTCACTCACCCTTCGTAGCACGGGAGTTTTGGGCACAGGGAGCACCTGATGCTAACGAGTTTATTAAAATTACTCTGACAGCCAGGTGAAGGGGAGAGCAGTTAAAAACCAAACCAGATCATGTCCCGCCATCTGAGCTATAATCCCCACGGCCTCACACAGGGCCACGCAAGCTATTTCCTAGTGTAAGTTTTAGCATGATCATTTCTAGCACTTGAACATCTGAGAATTAATGCCACATAACTACAGAAATAAAAACGTTTATAATCTTTTTTCTTCGCACACCATCTTAATGGTTAGCATTATTTTTTCATGTTGGAATAACGACACCAAAAACATTTCAAAATACAGATGCGAACTAAACTCAACATGGTATCCTGGATTGGATTTGGGAAGAGAAAAAGGACACTGGTAGAAAAAACAGTGAAATCCAAATAAAGTTAGAGTTTAATTAACAGTAAACAATAAAAAATGAAATGAACAAGGAGGGGTGACTCCAACCCCTGCCCACAGTGACCCCGAGAGACTGCGGCGGGAGGCGCATGGGGGCAGGGCTGGACCAGCCCCCACAGGGCCGCCTCTCCCGCCCTCGCCCCGTCCTGCAGAGGGACAAAGTAAGGAGCATGGCTGTGCCTGCTCTGGGGCCACATGGACAGTGCCCTTGATGGTGTCAATAACCTTCTTGTGCAGACGCCAGGCTGGCATTCATGTCTTCCTTGCCCTCTGGGACGGAGCTGTCCTGCCCTAAGCCTGGGCCCTGTCCACTGGCCATGCAGAGTCTCACCTGCCCAGGCCAGCCACCTAGAACCTGCATCTTATCCCAGTCCCTCATGCAGGCACAGCCTGAGTTTCCAGGGGAGTCAATGGCTCCACAATGGCACCCCTGAGGGAGACCAGGGCCAGGCCACCAGGAGGAGGCCATCGTGTCTGGGCACTACCACCCCGCGAGGCCAATGCGGCCGCCAGTGCCAGCAAGGATCCAGAGTGATTCTGACGAACTGCGCAGGCCGGACCAATCCACCTGTGTGACGAGTTTAACCACACTCCTGGTGGTTTAACTTACCACGAACATCTCAGGTCATAGCTTTTACAGGCAACCCAGATGAGCAGATATACAAGAGGCCGCTGGCGCTGCAGAAGTGCAGTCATCCTTGAGTTCGGCCTGGGAGAGTGTGGCCACATCTCTGCCTCTGACCATTAGCTTTGCTACACTGCATGCAGGTCTGGGAACTTATGCAGGATTTCAGACAAAGTCATTAAAAATAATCAAATGCTTTGGCTTAGTCCATAAATAACATGCCACCTTGGCATCTGCTCTGGGTGGCCCTGGACACTGAGGGTGGCGTTTCCTGGTGGCCCCCCACACCGCATGTTGCCTGATTCTGAGCCTCAAGGCCTAGACCAGCAGGCCATGATGTTTCCAGAGAAATACAGTCTCAGCAATTGTAAATATTCCAGTAGCCACAGCAAAAAGGCAAAAAGAAACAAATTTAACTTCAGTACATCCTGTTTAACCTCATGTATCTAAAATGTCCTCATTCAATGTATAACCAGCATAAGGAGTTACTGAAGGACACTGTACATTCCTTCACTGAGATGCTACATCCCACAGGCATCTCACACAAGAGCACATCTCCATCTGGACCGGCTGCAGTGTCCAAACGCCACACACCAACCTGCAGGAGACAGCACAGGCCTAGATCTGCGGAGAGGTGCTGGGTTCTCACCACTCGGATGTTCTCTTACTCAGTGTTACGGGCTGATCTGTGTCCCCAAAAGCTACGCAGAAGTCCTAACCCCAATGCCTTAAGGAACGTGACCTTAATTGGAACAGATTACTGTGATACCATTCATTAACAGGAAGCCATATTAAGAGCCATATTGGTTATAAGAAGAGGATAAGAGTCAGAGATGCTCGGAGATGATGCCATGTGACAGCAGTAGCAGATTCTGGAGTAGAACCACGGGTCCCCCCAGGAGCTCAGAAAACCCAGGGAAGGACTTGATGCGCAGTGTCAGAAGGAGCGGGGCCCTGCCAGCACTGGACTTCAGGCTTCCAGTTTCCAGCCTCCGGCACTGAGAGCTTGGTTTTCTGTTGTTTCAGGACCCCACCTGTGGTACTTTGCCCTGGCAGTCCTCGGAAATAAGCACATCCAGTCATCTCCCTATTCACCTTGACTCTCCATGCTTTAGGGATTTCCAAGGGACTTCTTGGGCCGCAGCGCCAGGATCGGGGTGGAAGGTGGTGTGGAAACTGACAGAACGGTGTCTAGCAAAGGTGCCAGGGTGAGGCCCAGCTCACGGCTTGGGGAAGGAACCAGCACAACCTGAAGCAAGGCTGAGACCCACATAACCCCGACTCTCAAACACCATGGATAGAAAGCCCGAGCCGTTCGTGCCAGCCCCTGTTCCAGGTCTATCTGAGAAAGCTTCCCCAGTGACACCTGCTGGCCTCTGTCCTCGGAGCTCCCAATCACTGGTGGCACCATGGTCATTTGAGCAGGTAGTTTGTGCATGCCTGCCTCATACAGACCAGTTTGACCCAAAAGCAAGCACTGGAAGGGTGGGTGGGGGTATGGTGTTTCTTATTGGCTTTTTGTGTCCAGCAGCAGCAGGCCTGGCCAACACTGAGCATGGAGGTGCTACACAGACACCACCCAAATGCCCAGGCTCTGACCCAAACAGTCAGCAGAAGTGAGGATTCGGTCTTTGTGTTTAGAGGCAGGGTCTCACTCTGTCACCCAGGCTGGAGGGCAGGGATGATCACAGCTCACTGCAGCCTCGAACTCCTGGGCTCAAGTGATCCTCTCACCTCAGCCTCCCAAGGAGCTGGGACTACAGGAGCATGCCACCATGCCCAGCTAAGATTTTTTACTTTTGTAGGCACAGGGTCTCCTTATGTGGCCCAGGCTAGTCTCAAACTCCTAGGCTCAAGTGATTCTCCCGCCCTGGCCTCCCCAAGTGCTAGGATTACAGGTGTGAGCCACCACGCCTGACCAGGATTCTGCCCTTCTATGTTGACCTCAAGTCTAGAGGACAGGCTGGCCTAACCCCAATGACTCAGAGTGTGGCCTTATTTGGAACAGGACATGGTAGCTACAATCCTGGTCATTCTCATGGTGTCTGCACAGCACCTGGTTCTCAGCTCTGGCCAGGCCTGCGGCTGCAGGAGACACAAAACAATAAAAGCAGCAGCAGCCTCCCTTCTGGGTCAGGAACTCGGGAGCAATAGCCTGAAGTATGGCCCCGCCTCAGTTGCCTTCGCGTGACGAGGCATCTTCCACTGCTGCTTCTCTCAGGAGTCTCATTTTGTGAAAATCAAATGAAATCCTAAATATGAAAGTTACACAGCAAAGGCGAGTAACCACAAACAAATCCATCATTGGCGAAATGACCTGGGACAAAGGGCTGCGTGACTGGCCTACATGATGAGCACGGCACAAGAACACGTTCTAGGCGGCAGACAGCAATCAGTCTGGGTGGGCTGCCTTCCTTGCCACCTGGCATCTGTGTGCTCTTCTTCCTCCAGGCCCCTTAAAAATGCATACGCATTTAGCACAGACGTCATTACCTGGTTTACTTCCAGAGACGCCAGGCGGCCTCTTGATTTCTGACTTCAGCTTAGACGCCAGGATAAATCTCCTAAACCACTCCTCTTTTTCTCGGCCGGTCCGCCCAAAGAGATAGAGTATCTGCTCTCGCTGGCCAGATCTTGTTCCCTCTTGAGGAGGGGGCGGCTTCTGAGGGTCTTCGCTTCCCTCAGGTGGTGGCTTCTCTTCCGAAGTCTCCTTATCCTGAGCCTTTGACATGAAGTCATCCTGTCGACCGAGCTCAATACATATGGGGTACTTTTTATTCCAGATTCGTTTTCGAGCCAAACTCTTAGGTACAAGATAAATCTGCGGAGGAGGAGAAATGATGATTGGCATACTAAATTAAAGACTGTTGTATTGCGCGTTAATATCACACACAGCACAAATGCAAACTTCATAGAATTTCTGACTAAAATGATGAATGTAAAATAATGTTTAACACCTGTTCATAACATGACTATAGCTGAGTGTGGTGGCATGTGCTTACAGTTCCAGTTACTTGGAAAGTTGAGGTGAAAGGATCGCCTGAGCCCAGCAGGTTGACGCTGTGGTGGCCGGGAGCATGCCACTGCCCTCCAGCCTGGGTGACAGAGTGAGACTTCGACTCAAAAAAAAAGAGAAAGAAACTGGAATACATTTTAAGAAATGATTTGTTCTCCAAAATCATTCCAGAAAGTAGATGTTTAATAATTTTCCAAGAGTTACAAATATCTATAGTTTTCAAGTAGTAGAAGCACAAAAATAATTTTTAACGGACTATCATCAACTAAGTTAGCGACTGAGTTGAATGACTACGGGCCAGACTTAAGCTGGAAAAGTAAAGAAAGAATTTCCTAATCTACATGGAAGGCACAAGTCAACCTCGAGAATCAACCTCAAGCTAAGAATACATTTAGAAAACTACTTTAAATATTTCTGTCATTTCAGGGATACTTAAAGATCATTCAGATGAGTTCTAAGAATAGAGAACCTATAGTTATATGAAATTACATTTCACACAAAAATAGAAGTATATACATACTACTGTATCAAAATGTTGTTATTTAGAATGTCCATAATCTCCTCATTTACAGAACTTTCAGGGTTAGAATCCTAGGACCATCACATGCAGCTGTTTATTTCACAGAAAGAATTAACTTTTTTTTTTTTTTTTGAGTTGGAGTCTCACTCTGTTGCCCAGATTGGAGTGCAGTGGCCACTCCCGGCCACCGCAGCCTCAACCTGCTGGGGATCTGGTGATCCTTCCGCCTCAGCTTCCTGAGTAGCTGGAATTACAGGTGTGTGTTACCACGCCCAGCTCATTTTTTTATTTATTGTAGAGATGAGGTCTCGCCAAGTTGCCCAGGCGGATCTCAAACCCGTGGGCTCAGGCAATCCACTCACCTCAGCCTCCCAAAGCACGGGATTACAGGCTGAGCACCGAGCCCGGCTAGAATTAACTTTTAAGGCTGGGCACAGTGGCTCAAGCCTGTAATCCCAGCACTTTGGAAGGCCGAGGTGAAAGGATTGCCTAAGCCCGGGTGTTTAAGACCAGCCTGGGAAACTTGGATGAGACCTCATCTCTACAATAAATCAAGAAAAATTAGCCAGGCATGGTGGTATGCACCTGTAGTTTCAGCTACTTGAAAGGCTGAGGTGGAAGGATCACCTGAGCCCAGCAGGTTGAGGCTGCGGTGGCCGTGAGCATGCCACTGTACTCCAGCTTGAGCAACAGAATGAGACTCTGACTCAAAAAATAAAAATAAAAAAAGAATTAATTTTTAAATTCAGAGTTCTGGGCACAAGAGGCCCTTGCGCCTCCCGGTATGGCTGTGGACTACAGCATACACATCACCTGGGGCTCATGGGAACGCAGGCTCTCTGGCCCACCCAGAGGTGCTGAATCAGAAGGTGCTTTTAACAAGATTTCTAGGTGATCTGTATGTTAGAATGTGAGAGTGTCATCCTAAAGAATATCAATACTTAAACAACAACCCCAGCCGGGCTTGGTGGCTCAGCCTGTAATCCCGAGCCTTTGGGAGGCTGAGGTGAGTGGATTGCCTGAGCCCGCAGGTTCGAGACCCATCTGGGCAGCTTGGCGAAACCTCATCTCTACAATAAATCAAAAAATTAACCGGACATGGTAGTGCACACCTGTAGTTCCAGCTACTTGGAAGGCTGAAGTGGAAGGATCGCCGGAGCCCAGCAGGTCGAGGCTGCGGTGGCCGGGAGCGGCCACTGCACTCCAGTCTGGGCGACAGAGTGAGACTCCAACTCAAAAAAAAACAAAACAAAAAAACCCCCAACAAATCGTTTTGGGGAAAGAAAATGCAGTAGAACAACCAAGAATCCAAATGCTTCTCACCCATCTATGTATGCCATCCTTCCAAAACGACTGTGGCTCACCTTGCTGTCTGCGAGGTCATAGATCTTCTGGCTGACGTAGGTGACCTCTGGCTTGGTTTCATTGTAGCTAGCCCTCCGGGATACATTTTTATTAGGTTTTGAAAGTCTTAAGGTTCCACCCTCAAGTCGAACAAAGATAGAATGTGTCAAAGTCGCGTGGTAAGTTTCCGGATCATAGCTGCAAATCTCATTCATCCATCCCTGATGAAGAAGAGCGACCATCAGTAAAATTAGAAAAAAACACAGACACAACCCATTTGTGTGAAAATGATGAGCACTGTGGTATTCAGGACACTGACACCAAACGTGGCAATGCCACAGGTGACAGCCCATGGATGACTAGGGGCTGCTGAGTCAAGTACCCGGCTGGGAGGTTTGCTGGGACTAGGGAGCGTTGGGTCTGTTTTTGAGAACCAAAAATTCTGGGTTTAGGGGGAGAGTAGCAGCTCATTCTCCTAAATCAGAGGTTCTTTCTTTTTTGAAAACTTCCAAACAAATCAGGACACTCGCAAGTCTTGTGCAGGTGACTGAGCAAGGCTCTGCGCCATGTCCTTCAGGCAAGCAATCCCGCCAGCCTGGCCTCCTTGATGAGCTAGACGCAGGCTCTTCCCAGCCCAACTGCACAGTCTTTGGAATTTCACAGACAGCATTAACCCAGGTTACCATCCCAGGACTCGGGAACACCTACCACTCCACTCCAACCCCACTACAGCACACACTTCACCGAATCCACACAGAAAAGCAGAGAACTAAGAACGAGGCACTAAGTGAATCATAAATATAATCGATAATATGTCTGAATTCAAATATACATAGTAACTCTGAGTAAAATTGTGCTCCTGCCCCCCCGCCCCAAATGGACATAAATGTACTTATACATTGATTTTTTAAAAGGGCAAACATACTGAAATGTACAGAACATACACATATACAAGCCTAGCACACTATAACATTATGCTAAACAGCACTTTGGGAGGCCATGATGGAAGGATTGCTTGAACCTAGTTCAAGACCAGCCTGGGCAACACACCAAGACCTCATCTCTACAAAAAAATTAAAAAATTAGCCAGGCCAGGCTCGGTAGCTCAGCCTGTAATCCCACGCCTTTGGGAGGCCGAGGTGAGTGGATTGCCTGAGCCCGCGGGTTCAAGACCCACCTGGGCAGTGAGACCTCATCTCTACAATAAATCAAAAATCAGCCGGGCGTGGTAGCGCATGCCTGTAATTCCGGCTACTCAGAAGGCTGAGGTGGAAGGATCGCCGGAGCCCAGCAGGTCGAGGCTGCGGTGGCCGGGAGCGGCCACTGCACTCCAGTCTGGGCGACAGAGTGAGACTCCAACTCAAAAAAAAAAAAAAATTAGCCAGACACAGTGGCACTCACCTACATAGTCCCAGCTACTCAGGAGGCTAAGACAGAATAATTGCCAAAGTCCAGGAGGAGGCTGCTGACCTAAGCCCAGGTGGAGGCAAGTGAACCATGATCGTGCTACTGCCCTCTGGCCTGGGCAACAGTGTGGGACCCCAGATAAAAAAAAAAACCCACAAAACTATGCTAAAGCTAATTATGATGGCTACGATCAGCATTCATCATTTAACACGCCTCCAGCACCAAATACTTTTTCAGGTGATCTTGGTAGCCTAGATCTCTTTAGGAGATGTTCTCTAAGGAATTTTCCTTATCTTCCTAATCCCCTCTTTATTACTAATGTCTTGGTAATGAGCCAAGAGATGCTAAAGGTCACTGCAATGGAGCTGAGACTGCCTATCGTTTCAAGGAATAGCCCTTTCCATGAAGTATCTGAGTCTCACACAATGTTTTGAGTTGAAAGACCCTGAGAGCTGGGCTTGGTGGCTCAGGCCTGTAATCCCAGCACTTTGGGAGGCGAGAAGATCATTTGCGTCCAGGAGTCGAGGCTGCAGTGAGCTATGATTGTGCCACTGCACTCCAGCCTGGACAGAGCGAGACCCTGTCTCTAAAAAAATTTTAAAGGGGAAAAAAGGAGAGCCTCTGAGAATGAGAACTGCTCAGAATCTCTTTTGTTCATTCACCCTTTCATCAAAACATGCACTGAATCTATGTGCCACATAAAGTGTCAGGAGTTGACACTAAGGTTTTTTTTTTTAAAGGAGAGGATTCTTGACCCAAGAGCGCCCCCCAAACAGTAGAAAAGAATGATGTCTTCATGCCTTCATCCTATGATCCCACAGAGTAACCATAATAGAGAAAAGCTGTCACGAAAAGAGTACCACAGTGTGAGTGCAAAAAAAAAAAAAAGGGCAAACACACCTCTTTGTCACAGGGAGAGGGTGTGAAGCTTAAGGGTCAGTTACACAGATTTATATACCTCAGGAGTTTGACTGGAAGAATCTCACCCTCTCCATTAGTCGCCAAGTGAGTGTGCAGTGGCCATGGAAAGAGAGTGTGTAACCCAGGTGTTTGTGCAGCAACAACCCTGATCAGAGGCAGGGAGAGAACAGGTGCCCAGCGTGCAGATCCAGGCCCGAGGTGCACTGTCCTGTCAGAACCTCTGTCTGAGCAGGTGCAGAACTCACTTCATGTTTTGGTTCACGGTTCTCGTTTATTGTCTTTGGTCTGTTCTTATAGCAGATGACATTCATTGACTTTCGCTCGTTGGACCCATCTTGCATGCTCAGGATAAATGCTACACTGGTCATAACGTGCCGAAGCTCACAGAAACTGGTCCTGCATGCCTCTTCCTTGCCCCATGTCCAGGGATGTCACATTAGTCACCTGTACCTGGCCCCAGTGGGGATTTTTATGCCACGGAAATCAGGGCACAGGACAAACCAAGAATTTTCTCTTCTGGAGAACAGCTCACCAGGACAGCACTGTTATTTTCCTTTTATACATTGCTGAGTTAGATTTGCTGATATTTGTTCATTTCTCTAGGTACTCTAAGTCCTCTCAAGGAAAATGGCCTATCAATGTCTTGCCATGTCTTTTGGTGCTAATGAGCCTCATAAACTTTAGAGTTGGAAAGTGTTCCGTTCCCTCTTCTCTATTTTCTGGAAGAGTCTGTGTAGAATTAATAGTATTTCTTCCTTAAAGATCTGGTAGCACTTGCCAATGAAGCATCTAGGTCAAAACTTTTCTTTGTAGAAAGGTTTTAAACTATGAATTCAATTTTTTACATCACTACTGGACTATTTAGGTTATCTATTTCTTCTTGGGTGAGGTTTGGCTTGTATTTTTCTTTCTTTCTTTCTTTCTTTTGAGTTGGAGTCTCACTCTGTAACCCAGGCTGGAGTGCAGTGGCATGCTCAGGGCCACCACAGCCTCGAGGTGCTGGGCTCAGGCAATCCTTCTGTCTCAGCCTTCCAAGTAGCTGGAACTACAGGCACACGCTACCACACCTGGTTACCTTTTTAAAAAATTTATTGTAGAGATGAGGTCTTGCCAAATTGCCCAGGCTGGTCTCGAACCCATGGGCTGAGGGAAGCCTCTCACCTCGGCTTCCCAAAGTCCTGGGATTATAGGCGTGAGCCTTCACACCGCGCCTGGTTTGTATCTTTCAAAGAATCTATTTTATCTAAGTTGTCTAATGCCTGGGCATAATGTTATTTGTAATATTTTCCCATAATCCTTTTAATGTCTGTAGGGTCTGTGTTGATGTCCCCTTTTTCAGTCCTGACAGTGGTAATTTGTGCTTCCTTCAAATCTTTCTTTTTTCTAAGATAAGCTTTTGTTTATTATTTATAATTTTTTTAAGAGACAGGGTCTTGCTGTGCTACCCAGGCTGGAGTGCAGTGGTGTGATCACAGTTCACTGCAGCCTCAAACTCCTAGGCTTGAGCAATCCTCCTACCTTAGCCTCCTAAGTAGCTAGCACTACAAGTATGCACCACTATGCCTGGCTAGTTTTTGTTTTTGTTGTTGTTGTCATCTTTTAAATAGATATGAGGTCTTGCTATGTTGCCCAGGCTGGTCTCAAGCTCCTGGCCTCAAGCAATCCTCCCACCTCAGTTTCTCAAAGTGCTGGGATTACAGGCATGAGCCACCACACCTGGCCTCTAATATAAGTTTTCAACACTATCACTTTCCCTTTAAGCACTGTGTTACCTGCAATTCTCGGTATGTTGTCTTTTCAATTTCATGCCAATGAAAATATTTTCTAATTTCCCTTGTAACCTTATCTTTGGACCCACAAACTGTTTGAGGCATGCTGTATAATTTCCAAATATTTGTGCATTTTTCAAATATTTCTTATTGATTTCTTTTTTTTTTTTTTTTTTGAGTTGGAGTCTCACTCTGTCACCCAGGCTGGAGTGCGGTGGCCGGGAGCGGCCTCGACCTGCTGGGCTCCAGCGATCCTTCCGCCTCAGCCTTCTAAGTAGCTGGAAATACAGGTGCGCGCTACCACGCCCGGCTCATTTTTGATTTATTGTGGAGATGAGGTCTCGCCAAGTTGCCCAGGCGGGTCTCAAACCCGCGGGCTCAGGCAATTCACTCACCTCAGCCTCCCAAAGGCGCGGGATTACAGGCTGAGCCACTGAGCCCTTGCTATTGATTTCTAAGCTTAATTTCATTATGGTCAGAGAACATACTTTGTATAATTTCAATTATTTTAAGTTTATTATATGATTTATCTTGGTGACTATGCATTTGAAAAACATATGCATTCTGCTGTTGTTGAGTTTTATAATTACTTGTCTTTTTAAAAATAAACATTTTCCTTTTTTTGTTTTTTAGTGGGAGTCTCAGTCTGTCACTCAGGAGGTAGTGCAAGTGGCCCTCTCACAGCCATTACAGCCTCAACCAACTGGGCTGAGGTAATCCTTTTGTCTTATCCTTCCAAGTAGCTGGAACCACAGGCATGTACCACCACGCCCTGCTGATTTTTTTTATTTATTGTAGATACAAGGTCTCTCCATGTTGCTCAGGCTGGTCTCAAACTCCTGAGCTCAGGGAATCCTCTTGCCTGGTCTTCCAAAGTGCTGGGATTACAGGCATGAGCCACTGCACCTGGCAACACAAGCATTTTCATTAAACGTTTACTGATCTAGAATTCTTCTTATCCAGTTTGGTTGTAGAAAACACTGTCTAACACGAAACAGGCTTACTGGAGCTAACGTGCTGAAGGCAACTAGATTAATAAAGAACTTGAAGCAGATATAATTTTTCTGGGAATGCTTCAGAGCCACATCTGAGGTCAGGTTGTATCTGCTTGCAGGGCTACTAAA